CCCCGAGGCCCACACCCTCTAGCCTCTCCCCGTTGCCGATTGCAATCCAGACGTATCCCTATCCTAAGGACCCAATTGTCGAACCCACGGAGTCTTAACAGCTCCGGGGGACCTGGGAACCGAGTAACCCACGGAGATACAGCTGCTCCGTGAGAACGAATTATTGAACCCGCGGAGCCTAAACCACTCCGGGGTCAAGGAACCGAGTCTATCAGAGTCCTCCACCAAGAACTCAAGCGGAGCTGTGCCTGGAAAGCTGACCAGCCTACACCGCGACCACCTTGGGTGTAAGTAAATAATCTTTTCAATCAACCATTACGCCTCCGTGACTGATTCTAGCTCGAGCGTACCATACCGCGCCGCGGTTTTCTCCAACCCCGCGTGCCCGGGCTGCTGGCCACAGCCTGTGTGCACAAAGACGGGCCCGGCTCGCACATGGCGACCCAGATGGGATCGGGAGAGAACTCACACATGGCGACCCAGGCAGGATCGGGAGAGGGCTCGCACACTGTTTTGACAATAATTCTAGCTTTGTTACCCCCACTGGTATCCATATGCTTTTCAAAGCTTAAAGCTTCTGGAGATGGAGAAGAATTGAATGGTGCTTTATGGGATATTTATGTACACGGACAACAGAACATGAAGGACAGCATCAGCTCTGACGTTATCAGTTGCCAACTACTGTTTAGAAAGGCTCCATGGCAGGGGTGGGCAAAATGCGGCCCAGGGGCCGGATGTGGCCCGCCAAGCCATTCTATCCAGCCTGCGGGGCCCTTAAAAAATTTAGAAAATTTTAATACTAATCTGCCCTGGGCTGCCTGTCATGCGGCCCTCGATGGCTTGCCAAAACTCAGTAAGAGGCCCTCTGCCCAAAATAATTGCCTGCCCCTGCTCCATGGCCATGTAGCTAGGCACATGGCTATGTGGAGGCAATTCTTAGAATGAACAGAACCTACCATATTTTCTCAAATATAAGATGAGGGGTTTTTTTTCCAATCGGAATGAGGGGCAGAAGGCCCATTGTTTTATATTTGCATACCTGTCCCCCCTCCCCCTCTGCATTAAATACATTGCCTATCATTAAAGTGCTGCTTGAAGCAGCATGTACTCAGTCATGGAAACCAAATGTGAAGTTGATTGCAGCCCGTGCTAACTAAGCATACCCATAAAACACATGACCCATATTAGGCAAACATGCTGATGGGGACCCTTTTTTTTTTTTTGAGAGTGGCATCCTATGTGCAAGCTCCAGTCCTGAAAGCCTTGGAGTTCAGATGCCCCTAGTCTTGCTTGCTCCTAACCAAAAGGCCAAGGAGCAGCTAGGGGTAAAGCATAAAAGTAGTGTCCCACAGCCACAAAATTGATGGGGAACTTACCCCAAGGATAGGTTAGTGTAGCCTATCTAAATAAAACATGCTGATGGGGGAACCATTATTTATTTTACTTTATTTATTTCATAGATGCTAGGGTCAGAAGGGACCTCAATAGTTCATCGAGTCTGACTCCCTGCATAGGCAGGAAAGAGCGCTGGGTCTAGATGACCCCAGCTAGATGCATATCCGAAGCCCCCCGGGGTAGGGGAGAGCACCCCCTCCCTTGGGAGCCCATTCCAGACCCTGGCCACTCTAACTGTGAAGAAGTTCTTCCTAATGTCTAGTCTAAATCTGCTCTCTGCTAGCTTGTGGCCATTATTTCTTGCGCCTTGGTGAATAAACCCTCACCAATTCCCTTCTGTGCCCCCATGATGAACTTATAGGCAGCCACAAGGTCGCCTCTCAGCCTTCTCTTGAGGAGGCTGAAGAGGTCCAGGTGCCCCAGTCTCTCCTCATAGGGCTTGGCCTGCAAGCCCTTAACCATACGAGTGGCCCTTCTCCGGACCCTCTCCAGGTTATCCACATCCCTCTTGAAGTGCGGCGCCCAAAACTGCACGCAGTATTCCAACTGCGGTCTGACCAGTGCCCAATAAAGGGGAAGTATTGCCTCCTTGCATCTGTTTGTCATGCATCTGCCGATGCACGATAAAGTGCCATTAGCTTTTCTGATGGCTTTGTCACACTGCCAACTCATGTTCATCTTGTAGTCCACTAAGACTCCAAGATCCCTTTCCGCTTCCGTTCCACCAAGCAGGTCATTTTCTAGGCGGTAGGTATGCTGGACATTTTTCCTCCCTAGGTGCGGCACTTTGCATTTCTCCTTGTTGAATTCCGTTCTGTTGTTTTCCACCCATATGTCCAACCTGTCCAGGTCTGCTTGTAGTTGTTCCCTGCCCTCTGGTGTGTCCACTTCTCCCCACAGTTTTGTGTCATCCACAAACTTGGACAGAGTACACTTCACTCCCTTGTCCAAGTCACTGATGAAGATATTGAAGAGTATCGGTCCAAGGACCGAGCCCTGCGGGACCCCACTGCCCACACCCTTCCAGGTCGATACCGACCCATCCACCTCAACTCTGGGTGCGACCCTCTAGCCAGTTCGCCACCCACCGGACTGTGTAGTCATCCAAGTCACAGCCTCTTAACTTGTTTGCCAGTATGGGGTGGGATACCGTATTGAAGGCCTTCCTGAAGTCTAAGTATACGACATCAACCCCTACTCCTGCGTCCAGGCGTTTTGTAACCTGGTCATAAAAAGAGACTAGATTAGTCAGGCATGTGGCTTTAAATGTGGCTGTTCTCTAGCACCGAGTCTGGAAGTACTGCAATACCAAGCTAGAACCAGGAGGGTCAGAGTCGGCTCTGACACGCTCCCCTGGATGCCAGAAATGCTTGATCTTAAGACCTGTGCCAGAAGGGTAGGATATAGTACCCATTGTGCTCAGTCCCCCTAAGCACCAACTCTTTTTCACGTTGTGGTGAACTACTACATGAAATAATTTTCAACTTCCACAACTGAGTAGCACCTCTCTTTCCCATTTCCAGTGATTTCTGTTTTGTCACCAGCCTTTAAATGTCCAGCAAACATCCCAAAACTTCTGTGTAGCTGAGAGGCTCTGTTGCCTTGTGTTCAAGTAAATGCAGTGCTTCTTTAAGGAGTCCTTGCCAAATAAGTCTTGCCTGGTCCTGAAAAACGCTGGGCACACTGTTAATAGGTATTAAGGGTCATCTAAAGTGAAGGGCATATGGTACTTGGCAGCTTTGGTCTGTGATGATAAACCTCAGAAATGTGTTCCTTATGGGAAACGCTTCTTGCTACATGAAGGTCACATAAATGAATCTATGTTCAGTTTTTTATTGTTCTCAGGGTAGCAAATGGTGTATTTTTTTTTTAATGTTGTTGTCTTCTAATGAATAAAAACCTGTTACAGCAATATTCAGGTAAGATGCAAAATTGTAAATGCAGTGTCTCATTTTTATTTTTTTTAATTTTTTTTTTATTTTACAGATGCTTCAGGCATGCTCAGTCCAACACTTACCTGTACCATATGCAGCATTCCCGCCCCTTATTTCTAGTGACCCGTTTCTTTTGCATCCTCCTCACCTCTCCCCCCATCATCCTCCTCACCTGCCACCTCCAGGCCAGTTCGTTCCTTTCCAAACACAACAGTCACGGTCGGTATGTAACAGTTCTTATTTATTTAACTTCCCTAGAATTTTTGGTTCTGGATCAGCAAGTTAAATTGTCATCCTTCTGATGGCTCTCTGGTAGAGAAATTAGTGGGTTTGGCTCATGTGCAGTAATCTTAACAAGTTTCTGGTGCTATGACAAAGCTTTCTGAGCAAGTCCTTGGTCTGTAAAAGTCGTTGTTAAAAGAAATGACAGCATTAATCCTCATTTTTATTCTTTTAGGATATCCTCAACCATCTCCTTTTTAGCTTCTTCCACTCCTGTCAGTGCCTAGTAGATATTTGCTTTCTGACAGACTACCTGCTGTTCCTGGGAGCAGGAGAGACTCTTAGAAAAGCTAACCAGAGTCCAGCAGAAGGCTCAGGAAAACAATGACAGAGAGAGAGAAGAAATCATGGAATAATTTCCATTTCCCACTCTAGACATCTGTCTTTAAATGACAAATAATTTTATACCCACAACAGAGAAGAAAAATATAGTGAGTTTGGACTTAAAAAATGCCAGAGAACCTAATACACCTTAGAGGTGTTAGACATAGCTTGTTTTAAAAGGCTTTAAGAGCTCTGTGATAAGGAGCTCATACAGAAAACGGAGTGAGGCAACTATTTTTCATTCTGGACATAAAGAACAAGTGAGACTTCACAATTCCCACTCATTAGCTCTTACTACACCCACATTCTCTTATATATTTAATTGGCTGACAGTTTAGAAGATGCCAATTTTTGATTGGACAGATACAAAATGGCAGTCTTGGTATGACTAACAGATATTGCTTGGGTCTGTGGCTGCATCTTATTACACAAGCTTCTGGTGTGATTTCATTAAAATCAGGTGAAGGATGATGAACCCTCTCTGAGCCTCACACACACTCAAGGATATACCTTCACTGCCAAAATGTGCATTAATTTAAATTAAAATAGAAGAGAAGGCACAACCGCTTTGTTTATAACTTAAAAGTCTGAACCTAAACTTGATCTTCCCTGTTGACTTTAGCTCAAGTAGTAACCTCAGTTAAAAATCAAGCTGCTTTTTGCAGTGAAGGTATACCCTCAGAGTTAGTGATGTATATCAAAGAAATGCCTATACTTGTTCAGAAAACAGGAAGCAAAATTTCCTTGTCTGTTGCAAAGTGGCTTCCCCTATTTTTCCTATAGTGTGTGGAGATAGCCACCAGTAATCAACAAATAAATGGGCACTCGGTGAGTTTTTAACTTTAGGGATCTTAAACCAAGACCAAGATTGGCCTGATACTGGCATGGATCTTTCCCAATGAGATGACTGATATATTAAATTACAAGAGTGCTTTAAAATAACACATTTGGCTAAATCCTGGTCATGTAGGGTTTCTTTTAAGTTCCTTCTAAACCTATCTTTTGTTTCAGCCTCTCATCCTGCCTCCCTGCCTAGAAGTGATTGTAAAAGAAATTGACAGGAAAACTTAATTAATTCCCAACATGTCAGGGGGGAGTGGGGCGAGAAGAGTCTTCACTTTTCACTTTTTCAGTGCTAGTCCCTTTAATTTCTTGACTCTCTCTGGATGCCAACATTAAAGCATACTCCCATTTAGAGTTAACAATGCAAGTACTTTCTGAGAACAAGTGCAGCAAAAGATTATTCTGGGTCTAGTTTGGGATCTTTATTATGGGATTGATGCAATAGACAATGTTCTCACCAAGCCCATTGCCGGGTGCTTTGGTGATGCAGCTTATATGCTCCTTTTTACACTTAAAGGGAGGGTTGCAGTTCTCTATTCCAAGAAATGAAATCTCTTGTATAACAGCTACAGGCAGTCTTTACTTGGGCAGCTGTCTGAAGGGAGACTTTAAAAATGTTTTTTTCTGCAACTGATAAGACTGAGGTGATCTAAGGAAGCAAAACGCAGGGAAGCAGAAGCCTCACTAGTGTGTTCTTATACTTTTAGTGGATTAATGTCAAACAGGACCACAAGAAGCTGAGGGAGTTTCCTTCATTTTTCTTTCTTAAAAATGAGCTATCTAAGGCAGGGAGCAGAGTTGAAAGTACATAAAAGTGAACATAGGGAATGCATGCCTTTTGAAAATAGTGGGTGGGAACAATTTTGAAAATAACTATTGAATTGGTATACTTCCCCACCCCTATCCTTCCCCTTTAAAGGATTTAGCAGTTTAGACTGCTGCCTAGCATATGTAGGCAAGTGATTCAAAGATTATCTATTAAAGTACTCCATTATTGACTTAATTTTAAATATTACCTTGTGTACATAGCTGGCCTGTCTTGTTTACAGTATCAGAATGCCTCTCAGTCTTCCATGTATTTATCTTCCTTTCCTCATGGGGGAATTATGAAACATTATTATTCATACTTTACAGATGGAGCTAAGTTTGCCCAGTCTAAGGCCCAGATGCCCAAAGTACTTAGGCATGTAACAAAAACATTTGAGAACTTGAGCCAATGTGACTTACCCCAGGTGATGGAGCAGGGAGTTTAACCTGGGTCTTTTGTCCTAGGTTTGCATGCTTATCCTGAGCTTGTGTGTCCTATAAAATTATGAGCAGTAAAAAAACCCACAGCACCTGCTATGGTTTGATTGCAAATTTGGAATTCTGGCCATAACTAGCTGAGAAATGTTAAAGCATATGAGACCCTAATTTCTTTGTTTGCGTCTAAAGAAGCATTTGGTTTTCAGTAATGCTGATGACAGTAGCCAACTTGTGCTGCATTTTGTAAAAGTGTCAGCAATTCAGAACACAAAGTTAAAATTTCATTTCATTAGTGAAAAATTCCATCTGCGTTAAATACAGCAAACCCTGTATTTACTTTTAGCCACTTCAAAGGATAGAGAACGAAGTAGAGCTGCTTGGAGAACATCTTCCTGTAGGAGGTTTTACCTACCCTCCATCAGCACATCCGCCAACATTGCCTCCCTCAGCCCCTCTCCAATTCTTAACACATGACCCTTTACACCAGGAGGTGTCATTTGGAGTAGTAAGTATTGCTTTCTTACTTCCCACTTTCTTGTGCTGTGCTGAAGGTCTCCGTTTTGGTCCCCTGGCATTGGTTGTAAAATACAGTAAAAACACTTTATTGAAAACTCAGCTCTGAGTAGGAGAGATAAGTAGCCTGAGTAGGAGTAGCCTTATGTTACAGGCTGTCATTACATACTTTTTACATAAAATTTGTTTAATCTCGATTTTCTAACAAAGTCAAAGGTGCTTATTGGTGATGTTGGTGAATAAAGAGGTCATTAGCCATGTTAGGCAGAAGGTAAGGCAGAGATTCATTTACAAGTAGTACTTGATAAATGTCACTTCCAGAGAACCTGTAATGCCTGTTGCTTAGAAAAAGATTCTTTCTACATTTCAACACAGTTCACTACTGCAGCACAGAAACTTCATGACCACAGCTTGTTTTACATCCAGAATCCCTATTTTGAATGTTTTAACCAAGCTATGCTCCTTCGAGGGTTTGAAATAAAGGGACATAAGAGTTAAAATCACTTAATTCATGTTTTCTGGACTTTACATTGTATGCTGGATTTACACTTTGCTTTAAACAAGTTGGCTCTGATACTTGAAGGAGTCTGGCTGCAGCAGCATGGTATTCAGTGCAGGCTAACTTACTCTGCCAAGAAGCAACATAAAATAGCCTATGTGAAGCTCTCTTTTGCTGTGGCCAAGCCTGCTTCTCAAACCTGAGCTAACTATAATTTCTCTGCATTCCGTTGCAATCTGCAGTGTAGACATAGGGCCCTGACACATGCTATGTTTAAGATATGGTGCAATTGACACACTGACCATAAATGGTAACCTGGCCACATGCTGAGGCCAACTTATGGTGTAATAATACAGTAAACCAACAACAAAGATATTACACACACAACATGTTACATCATTGTTGCTCATTTGTATCCTATCTTAAAATAAACATGTGCCATGTTAGGTCTCACCCATGACACAGATCACCACCTTCAACTAAGCATAGAAATCTGGTAGGGGGTAACATCAGGGTTTGGGATACAGCTGTCCCCAGCCAATCAATGGGGATTGGGCTGGGGGGGGTAGCATGAAGTTCTGGACCTAAATCTGTCTGATCCTCAGAAGCAGATGGTGGGAGGGGGGTGCCTTTAGCCAAACATCAGGGTGCATCTCAATCTCAGGCTCACTGCACTCCACACCATTTAAAAAAAAAATTAGCATGCAGCTGGAAGCCCCAACTGCACACCCACTTTTAAGTTGCCTGGGTGCCTATGGAAGAAGCAGCTGGGGAGCTAGGAGCTCTGCTCCATAGCTGTAGGCACCACTTCATGATGTGAGGCATGGGTAGCAGGGGAGCCAGGAACTCCCAACTGCCCATACCCCGTATCATGGTCTTAATGCATGGGAACTTTAAAGAGCATTGCAATCTTCCACATTGGGGATTTTAAATCCTGTGCCTGGCTACTCTTGCCAGGCTGCCCAGCACAGAGAATTGGAGTTTCCAGTGTGGTTTAAAGTCCCCAGCAGCAGAAGCCCTTCAGCTCCCTCTCACATTGCCAGGAGCCCCTGATCCCCCTCTGCGCAGCGTCCGGGCCTGAGTTGCAGTACACAGGGGTTGGACAATTTGGATTGGGGATGCCCACACTGGACTGCGATCTCAAGTTGGACCTGGGGCTATCCCAGCTAAGACCAAATATCAGCTGATTTCCCCATCTTAATAGGCAGTATGAGAAAATTTTGTCCAGTGATACTGACAGTTAAGATATATGAAAACCTGAAGAGCTTCACAAGCACTGCAAACATAGGAAAATAAATTAATTTCCTGTGAGGAGGGTGGAGGGAATATGTCAAAGCTTGTAGGTTTGTGGTTGACAAGGTTCTTTGGGTAGATGTGATCTTTTTTATTAGAATAAATAAATAGTTGGAAAATTGTTCTTTGCAAGCTTTCAGGCACAAACGCCCTTCTTCTCGCATAGGGAGAGTCTGCTGGTGTTTTGTGTTCTCTCCTGGGTAGAATAGAAGCCAATGTGCAAAATGCAGGTCTGTGAAAATTTAAATGCATGGTAATGAGGATCAGAGGGAATGGGAGACTATAGGTGTAGGTGGGGAGAGGGGAAAGGGGAGTGTTGAACTGGTGATAGAAAGTAGGTGGTAAAATGCAGATGGGTTACCTGGGTTTATCAGATGGCAGGCAGGATATAATATGCCATAAATCCAATGTCTATATTTAGTCCATGATTTTTTGTATCCATTAGATTTATGAAGTGAAGTTCGTAGGCTCATCTGTTCTTCCCAGGAGAGCGCACAAAACACCAGCAGACTCTCCCTATGCCTGAAGAAGGGTGTTTGTGCCCAAAAGCTTGCAAAGAACAATTTTTCCAACTATTTAGTTGGTCTAATAAAAGATATATCTACCAAAGAACTGTGTCTGCCTATGTCCTTAGATCAACATGGCTACAACCAACAACCCTAAGGTTTGTGGTTTGTCGTAGTAGATTGTCTATGAAGCTCATGCCTCTGAACCAGTTAGTTCCTAAGGTGCCACCTTTTCCTACCTTCTGTTTGACTTCAGACTAACATTACTAACAGCTCATGTAAGGCATGTTTGGCTACCTAGGTATAATTAGTGTTGACAACCCTTCCCTTGCCTGAACAGTTACACTACATAAAGGTGTTTGACATCTCTAGTATAAAAACACCTGGCCCGTGAAGCTGGGTCATCCATCCTGCAGGGCTTCTCACTGCATCTGCCAGAGCCACTGTCAGCATGGTCAACACCCAATGGGGTTAATACAGCCACTACCAGAAGTAAGTTCTCTCTAGCCCCCATCTTTTCTGCCACTGAGTTTACCATTTTCAATTGCTGTTGGTGACTAAAACAGGCAGCAAGCAGTGATGGAGGTGAGTGGTGGCAGCGTTAACCCCTAGATGCTGGCAGGGGTTATGGCCCACAGCTGATTTATTTGACACCCCTGCCTTGTACCAATTAGCTTATTCTGGGGTAGTCTGTCCTATACAAGTTTGCCGGCTATGTTGGCAAAGACCAATAGTTAAGATGCAGCATATAATAACAGAAGGGGTGGTATAATTATATTAATGAAATATTGCACCACTTAAAAGGCATGCTGCTTCTAGTTTGGAATTTGTGGTTCCTCCATGTGCAGGAAGCTCTGGTTGCACACTCCCTTTGTGTTGGCTAGGTCCTTAAGGAGCATTTTTAAAGGTTTTGTGCAAGGTGCTTTTTGCATCATAGATGTTTCGCACAGAATGGCATGAGCTCTGTATATTATTGTTAGGAATTGTTTTTAAAGCTAAATTGTTTCAAGCAGCTACTTGATTTTTTTAAGATAATGCATCACTTTAAAAAAATCAGATTTCAACTCATTTTAAAAATAGTAATAGTAGTAGGCAACCATCAATCCTTCTGGATCAGGATGTATGCATGAGAGGTCACCAGGCCCTGCATCGTGTATGTCTAGGCAGGAGCATGAAGGAGTGGAGGCTGCCCAGACCTTCCACCCCCACCCCCCTTTAGATTATCGAGACAGAACCCAGAGGCCAGACTGAGTCCAGACACTTGGTGCCTTGATGACTGTAGTTACATGTGTATCTGGGAATCAAACCCAGGTCTCCCACATGGCAGACAATGAACCACAACAGCGGGTTAAAATAATACTAGTTTAACAATAAAATACTAAAGCTTATTTTCTTTCTCTTCATAGCCTTATCCGCCATTTATGCCTCGAAGACTTACTGGGCGCAGCAGGTATCGTTCCCAGCAGCCAATACCACCACATCCTTACCATCCCAGCCTATTACCATATGTGCTGTAAGTCCTCTGGGAAACCTTTTCTAACCTGTTAAATAACTTTTATGTACTTTTTTCTTTTCTTTTTTTTTTTTTTCAAATGACCCTTTCAAAGTAGATGTTAGTTTCTGCCATAAGTGTAGAAACTGTTCACTTGTAGGCATGGATGTACCAGTGTCTGTAAGTGATTTGCTTAAACATTTCCATGGTAAGGAATCTCATTCAGTTACAAATAACCTCATATTTTCCACACTTAGGGTTTGCCCAAGAGCAAAACATTTTTTCGAGAAGCAATAGAGTTAAAACAGCTTACATGCAATTCTATTTAAGTTTTTACTCCATCTTGACAGCGCTATTCAAAGCAGCCAGTAGTAGAAATGTGAAATTTGGTGGTGATGTAGTCACAGTTGGACATGAGACTTGTCCCTGTGGAATTCTTTTCAGAATTTGCCCATCTTGAACAGTAGACAGACAACTGTTCCCTGGCATACTCCTTTATTGGGTTACATTACTGAGATAAACTTAGTATGAAAACTTTAACTTCTATGCCCAGTCCTTATTCAGGAATAAGTAACTTTGCTCTGTTTGAAACAATTTATCAAAAACTAAAGGGAACATCCTGTGCTGTAACACTTGTTATTAGCTGAACTACTGATCCATTGTAGCCTTTGAAATTCTGTCATACACCCAGCCAACAGGTTCTCTAACCAGGTGAAAGGAGATGCTCAAGTTGAAGATTATCAGTGGCTTACTTGGAGTGGAGTTGAAAAGTGATGGTTGAAAAGCCCAATTCTGCCTGTGCATGTTTGGTGTGTGCTGCGTCTCCTTTCCAAATAAACATAAAATTCTCAAAAAAAGAAAGGTAAATATTTTCATCCCTCCCTGTGTCTTAAAGGAGGCATTGGAAAGGAACTACTGATCCACACACCTGCAGTGTCTGGCAGAGCACATTCTGCTGATCTAGATGACACTACAGTTAGACTTCAATCTGAGATCCACTGAACTTGCAGGAGTTTTGAATTTGCATTCTTGTCAAAACATGCCCAGATCTTGTGTCCCCCTGTCTTCTTGTCAGCTTCTCAGCATCTCAAACCATATACAATAAGACCAAATTCACAGTGCTGTAGAAATCTTAACTCATGATTTGCCTGATGCTTTGTGTTTCATTTTTAACTATAAAGATGAATCATCCTAATTTGGGGGGATTAAAGCTGCTGGTTTTAAAATTAAAAACCCCAAAATTATATGCCCGTAACTTGATCTCACTCCACAGATGCAGAAATCCCAAGTCTCCTCCCTGGGCCAGTTGCATGTAATATGTATTTATAGGCACATGTGAATGTGCAGTGGGATCTACTCTCCATGTGCAAATAGGTCCAGTTGCACACTTCATTATATGCATTTTATGTAGTAGCATTTCAAGGCTTTTGCATTTGGGAGCCAGGTCAAGCTTTCGGTTGCTCATCACTGTTCATTTTTTCTTTTTTCTATATAGAAAGCCAAACAAATATAAGACTCAGTCCTGTGGCTATGTATTTTAATTCTCAAGTTAACAATACAGTCAGGATGTAAGATTTCTTCAGTAATGTTGAGACATAACTAACAAATCAAAGAACTATACAGTATGGGCTAAATTCTGTTCTGCCCACTATAGTCTAACGCAGGAGTTGTCAATTGGGGGTACGCATAGCCCTGGAGGTACTTGGGAAGACCCCGAGGGGTACACAATGGAAGCACAGAGAAGTAGGGATATTTGGGAAGCACGCCACCACCTGCTGCTGTGGAAGTATGCTTCTCAAGTACCCCCACTTGCCTATGCCACCACCGCATCCCCCCTGGTGGTGGTAGGTGGCACGCGGCACCAGCACCCCCCCCCAATCAACCAGCTGCTGGGGGGACCCCCTCATCTGCTCATCCAGGGGGTACAGTCCAGGAGGGGTACCCACCAGAAGGGGTGCACTCCTTAAAAAAGGTTGAAAACCCCTGGTCTAATGGACCACTGCCAACAGTGTCTTGGAAATCTTCTTAGACTATGCAGATCTGTGTCAGTTAAGGTGGGGGGACTCTGGCCTGCAGTGCACAGGATGATCTGAAAACAAGTGAACTTACCCTTATTGTGCCTTTCTCTGTAAACTGGACATGTACTGAGAGGTGCCACAGAAGTGTGATTTCAAGAGAGATCTGACAATAGAAAAATTCAACGAGTGTCCCACAAAACAGGCTGGGCTAGTGACAGGGTGGGAGAAGGCTTGAGTAGTGCACATATGTACTTCTTTCTGAAAGGAAAATTGGAGAGACCTGGAATCTCCTACAGCTAACCTACGAGGCTCTTTTTTTCCCCTTTCCAAACATGGACGCATTCCTCCTTCCTGCTGGGGACTCTGGGTCATGTCTTCCAAGAGACCTCCTCTTCTGCATGGAGAAATGCTGTAGTTAGGATTGTTACTAGAAGGCTTTCCAAATAGCACAGTTTGAGCATCTGATCCATCCTAAATGAGAGGTATACTCAAGTAGGTGAAGCACTGTGTGGAGCATCCTGCAGTTTTTTCCAGTGACTAAATCAAAAAGCACAATGTTGGAAGCAAGCACTCCCTTTCCCTGCCTTTCCTTTTCTCCTCTCTCCTGTAGCACCTTCCCCTCCCCCACTGCCACCATCAGGGCATCATCCATTTCCCTGAGCCAGAGTCTAGCTTTTTCTTTTTCTGACCCTCTCCGATGCTTTCCCTTTGACAGCCCAGTAACGTAGTCTAAGCCGGAAAGTGCTTTCAGTCCTGCCTGCTCTGTGGCCTGGTAAGCAGAACTCTGCCCTGTGATGTGTAGTCAGTGGTTAGGTTCCCTTGAGGGGATGCCTGAGAACTGGGGTTTCCTATGTCTTGGGTCACCACTAGGCTACTGGACAAAAATGGGTGAAGGTGCTGCCATCAAGCATTACTGTTACTCAAGGTCAGGCCCTCTCTCATCTCTCCTAGTGACTCATAGCAAGTCAGGCTTAGTTGTTTAGCTAATTTAGATGTCTCAGGGCAGTAGAGGGCATTGGCACGTACAGTTGGTACGTACTAAAGGTCATGAGTGCAGAGCCACATGGAATGTGACTGTGCTGGAACAATGCTTTTGCTTTTCACAAGTAGTTAATTGTATCCCTGCTTTGCTCCCTCAACAGGTCAATGCTTCCAGTGCCCCCTGCAGTTGGACCTGCCTTCAGCTTTGAGCTGGATGTGGAAGATGGGGAGGTAGAAAACTACGAGGTTAGTTCATGAAATGCAAATGTACACATAGTGAACTGATCATCCTTTCCCTTAAATCTTTTTTTTGTGTTTAAATATATGTAATGCGTGTGGCAGTTAGAATCTAGAAATGCCTTTTTTCTCCCTGTTTTAGTATTGGATGTTAAAAACCAAGGTGCTTAGTAGCATTTTGTGTGCGTTTGTCCTTCAGAGTTCTCCAGTACTGGTAATCATTATGTTGCCCATCTTTCCATTCTAGCTGTTACTTTTCTCTTTTTATGTTTTATTTGATTTTTAAATATTTAAATAAAGCTAGCTCAAACAAGAGGACAAGTTCATGCTTTTTACATGCCTTACTATAGTGTTAGAGTTTCAGAATAACAGTGATGTCACAAGACACATTCAACTAAATGTGAAACAATGCAGTTCCATTAATCGTTTTTTATCTTAATTATAGGTGTATTTTTAGGGAAAAATATTTTTTAAAAATACTGAGAAAGTTACAAGTTAAAAATTGTAACCTTTACAATATTTAAGCTGGCAAAATACATTCATATTCCAGTGGTCTAGTTCATCCATTCTCCAATATAGACCATGATGAGAAAAGATGGGGGTAAGCCAGGGCTGTCTAGTTGGCAACCCATGGGCCACATGTGACATATGAGGAGTTAAGGTGCAGCCCCTGGGGCCTTGGGCTCTCACCCAGCTGCTACTCCCTATATCAGACTACTTACAGTCTCTAGGCTCCCCACTCTCTCTCCTCCAGCTGCAGCTTGTTGCCTTTGCCACAGGGGGTGTGGCAAAGCAGCAGCACAGGGAACTGAGGATGAGGCCAGGAGGTGGGGGAGGATTGGGGCTGTGTTGGGGGAGATCACGCCTGCATGGATCAGCTGGGGGCAAGGAGCATCAGCACAGTGCACCTGGTGGAGCCTTGGGGGCTTTGAAGTTGGACAGCCCTGAGGTAATCCATTGCAGTGGGTAACCTTGGGTGCTTTTATTAGCAAAGCAAATGCCTAAGTGAATTGGTAGCCACCTAGTACATGCTGGAGTCACTTCTGTTAGAGCATAGTTGCTTCACATGTGTGTTTTTAAATTGAGGGAATTTTTCTCTGGTCTTCTACCCCAGCCCCAACAGTGAGGTTACAGTTCCTTTCAGCCAGCAGAGGCAGACAGCACAATATTAAAGCTTTTCTCTTTCCTATTTTCACCTCCTATCCAGCAACCTTTCTGCCCTATAAATAGAACATGGCCACATGAATACTTTCAGTCTGGTCACTTCAGTCACTGTATACCGTGACCCTATCAAGGTGTTGAGTAGAAGCTATGTCTCCAACATGGCAGTGTGCAGTTGAGTTGGCCCTAGTAAGTAGGGTGAGCAACTTTCCTCCAGTTATTCATACTGTTATTTTAGTTTCCCTCATCCCACCGCTTCTCAAAGCAAAATATTTATTGTGCTGTGAATGTCTGCAGGAGCAATTAACAATTAAATCATGAAGGTTTAGATGTCATGAAGAGAACATTCTTACACAAGGTCCGTACCTATGATCAACCTATGAAAGCAGTATTTTCCAGGAGCCTGTTATTGTGGGAGAAGGGAGATGTAGATTCAAAATCCTTCTTGTCAAAATTTTTGACAGTGTTGCATAGAGAGAGAGTGACCTCTTATGTCAAAAAATATATTGCAGTTAGGGGTGCACCGATAGAGATTTTTTGGGTTGATATTGATAGCTGATTTTTAAGGAGGCATATCAGCCGATAACGATCCGATTTCCGACACGCAGCCCAGCAGCTTGAAGAGCAGTGTCTGGCTGATAAGCCTGTTGAAGGGGAAGGGGTGTGGGAGGTGCAGATCAAGGCCCCTGTGGCGAAGGAGTGGAGCTGGGGCAGGCGCTGCCTGGGCAGGGTGGGGTGCAGGACAGAGCCACGGTCTCTCCCAGTGGGGAGAGGTGGGGACTGCGGGAAGGGGGGGCAGTTTCTGCCACTGCGCGCATCCTGAGGGGGCATGTGCCCCCAGATCTGCGTGGGGCAAGGGCTGGCTGCCGCTGCAGGCTGGAGCCAGAGCTGCACTGGGTTCTTCCCAATGGGGGCTGGGCCAGGCTGCACTTGAGGCAGGCGGCAGCAGCACTGGGAGAAGCATTACAGGGGCAGGGCAGAAGATGCCCCAAAATTCGCCGTAGCCCCTGCAACTCCTCCCAGCGCCACCACCGTCTGCCCTGAGCACAGCCCAGCCCAGCCCCTGCCAGGAAGAGCCTGGCGCAGCCCTGGCTCCAGCCCACAATGACAGTCTGCCTTGCCCCACACAGAGCAGGGGGCACATGTCCCCTGTGCCCTCCCAGAGCTCGTGCAGTGGCTGGAACCCCCACCACCACCACCTCCCCACACACCACCCCAGACAAGCCGCAGCTCCATCCCATGCCAAGGCCCAGCGGGGCAGCCCCTGCCCCAGCCCCACTGCCTCCCTCACCACAGTGGCCTTGATATATGCCCCCCATTCCCCTTCCCTCCCCTTCCACTACAACAGACTTACCAGCTGGACACAGCTCTCCACACTGCTGGGCTATGCTCCTCGCCACCTATGTGCTGCACTGTTGCTGCGCACGTGCACAGGGCATGTATTGGTCACATTATCAGCCACATCAGGCAAAAAAAAGCTAATTTCCAATGCAGCCAATTTTTCTTTATATCGGTGTTGATCCAATATTGAACCGATGTATCAGTGCACCTCTAATTGCAGTCCTTCTAGAGCTGGAGCTGCTCACTTGACCAGCATGTTTACAAAGGAAAAACTTGTTCTGCAGGCACTGCTGAATTTGGCAGAACGTTTGGGAGAGGCCAAACCACGAGGACTAACAAAAGCAGACATTGAACAGCTTCCATCCTACAGGTTCAATCCAAACAACCACCAGTCAGAACAGACTTTGTGAGTACATTATTCTTGCCTCTTGATTTCATATCCATCATGTGGACTTCTTGATCCCTCTAGATTGGAGTGTGAAGTAGCCATATACTGTGTAATACATGAGAGCTCTAAATGCAAGTCAGAATGTTTCTCTGTTAAATTAATTTGAAGCCCAAAATGCCATCTTCAAAAGCTTTGGAATGTAGGGATGCATTAAGTTTTAAATTTGATTAATCTACATTTGAAATAAAAATTAAAATTTATCGGTCATTTGTTCAGTGTGCTGCATCTTAGAGGGGCATCCTCAACTTGAAATTTAGCCTGTGTTAAATGTGTATTCTGGTACAGCCCCTGAAAACCTTTTTCACTTTTTATGGTTTTACAATTATATTGTATTACATTTAGAATTTATTTCTCTATTTCAGTTTGAAAGACCCACACAAAAAGGAGCAGTTATAGCTACAATACACTTAAGTGTGGTCAAATTCAGAGCCAAAAGCTAAAAGAGATTTCTTTGATCTTCCATCTTCCTGATGGTCAGTGTTTTTCATAACAACAGTAGAAAGAGATTTTATGGTAGAAATGTGTTTTTTAAAAAGGAAAAGTTGATGGTGTCCATCTAGTAAGGAATGCAATAAGAAAACATATAACTGAACAGAAAAATAACTTAAACTATTTTGAGGAAAAAATGACAACTCAAAATTTAAATTATGCATATTGATAGGAAACATTATCCTGATATTAAAACAGAATGAAACGTTTGGAAGGTGTTTGCAGTTACCATATTCTTCAGCAGTTAACTGCTAACTTAAGTATTACAAATTAGTGTAATAAAATCCTATTTGTGCTGTTGGTGAGGGTGGTGAAGTCACCGTGAGTGTGAGTATTAACTCTGGCCTCCACTGGGATTTGAAACCAGAGTAAAGGCCATGAGAGCAGTTCTGGTATACACTGGAATAACCTGTCTTTTCTAAAGGTTTATTCCCATGCAGCTCCCTCACTGCTGCTACATCAGTACTCCATTGCAGACATACATAGTAAGTTATGCAATACCAATTTGTACTGAAATAGCAAATATCTTTTAAACTCTGCAATCTTTTTCTAGGTGTGTAGTGTGCATGTGTGATTTTGAGTCAAGGCAGCTACTTAGAGTCTTACCCTGTAACCACGAGTTCCATGCCAAGTGCGTCGATAAATGGCTTAAGGTAAAAAAAAAATCTACTTCAGAGAGACTATATAATGACTTGGTTTGTAGTATTTATTTTTCATTGCATTTCATCTCGTATTTTTCCTTTTATGTAGGATAGGAAAACCCACAGACTGAAAATGCTGTTTCCTTTACGCTATAGCAATATTTTCTAACAGCTAATGAAAGAAGAGTCTTTCCATCTCTTATCAAAACTAAGGTTATATAAAAATTAATATAAAGAGAATGATCTTGACTGACAAAATTGATTTTCATTTCTACATTACGGTGCCCATGTGGATGTAATTTTATATTAAAATAGGGTTTGGAGGTGGTGGGATAAATATAAGTACTGAGAGGTATCTGAAAGGAAGAAAACATTTAAAGCTTAAGCTACTGAAAGCCTTCTAGCTCATTCCATAAATCTGAGTTGTGGGAGCAAGACAAAAAAATATAAATGATTAACTTCTCCCGCAAAATTTTGGGTTTACATACGAAAGCAAGAGAGAGTTGTTTCAGAATAATTTAAATAAAACATTAGGAAGGGAAATGCATTAGATCAGAGAGGGTGCTCCTCTATAGAAAGTGAAAAGTACAAGAGTACAATTAGCCAGATCAGCTTTTCTCAACCCATGGGTTGCGACCCAAAAACGGGTTGCAAGAATATATGCAAGGGTCACGAACAAACTTATAAAATGGATCAACAAACTTTTAAAATGGATTCTCCTTTAAAGGAGGAAAACATGGGAAACTGGCTTTTCCCTGGTAGGCTGGCAAAGTTCCAGCCTACAAGGGGCTGCTTGGTACCGCCCTGCCCTACCCCCCACCCCACACATTGTGAGGCTGGGGCGAGATGCACTAGGTCAGGACTGGCCATTGATGTTTACAGATGGGTCCTAGTACAAAAAAGGTTGAGAACAACCGATCTAGATAATGCATCAGGAAAGCTCTGTTAGCTGCATTTCCAGACTTGGTGCCAGCAAGTATTGATTTCCATCTTCTCACATTTGTTCAGCATCTTATTCAATTCAGATTTGTTTTAGTTGCTATATATGCTGCCCCAAAATGTGTTTTGGGTTACAGCAGTCCTGAAATAAAACAGGTATATGTAAGAATCACTAGAGAATAATACTGCTACGCACATTGTTTTTCTTTCAGGATGCATCATATTAATAACTATGGTCAGGTGTCTAAACCATCCTGTTGCTTTGCTAGCAGCTGTTTTCTGATGGAGTATAGAAAGTACCACATGGATAGGTTTCCTGAGGCCAAGAGAATAGCTGCCTTACGTTTAGAGTACCAGTTATACTAGACAGTAACACTGTTGATCAATGAAGTAAATGAAATACTGAACAAATATACATGAATAATAGTACCTGGATTTATAGGATGGAGGGTTGAAACTAAATTTGGGGTCATGCTTAACCTCTCACATGTTAAAGCTTCTGCAGCACCAAAGATCATTGGAAATGTTTTCATGATTTTTTTCAAATTTCAGTGGAAGTCACTTGCATAAAATAAATAGTCTGCAAAATTCTGAACACACAAAGTAATGTATAAGAACTACTCTTTTTTTAGTGTCAAACTGAGGAAAATGCAAATAATAGTCTCAGCAGTTAACTCAAAGCATTTAACATGGTTTATAAGGACTGAAGAACTTGATTAGCGGTAAAGATAAGTGAACACAGGAATCTCTCTCTCAGGAATTACTTGCCGGGGGAGGCTGGGAGTAGTTTCTTCTCTTCGTGGTTGTAAAGAAGCACCTGAAAATGTAACCTGTGTTCTACTAGAAGGCATGGAAACCAGAAGGCAGAGAAAGAGAATCCAAATGTTTGTTTGTTTTTAAAGTCTCATGATTGCTAGGCCCAAGCTCTTTGGATTGGCAAAATTGTAAATAATTATATCTACAAGTAAATACAAGTCTGGTCCTGTTTTGGTTCTGCTGATACTATTGGAGCCCTACAAGGGTTGTTCTAGGGCAATCTGTCGCTGAAATGCCAGAGATATATCTTAGAACCTCTAAAGTAGAACATTTTAATAAATTGTATTTAAAAGAACAAATATTGGCTATAAAGTTTCTACAGAACAGTTTCAGCGCTAGTTCATCAAGCAGTTGCATGTGCTTATTGCAAAATGCTTGCCCCAAGTAACAGCTAGTTAAGTCAAGTTTCCACTCCTTATGCACATCTGATTTGCACCAAAGTTATATGTGAAAATTCATAAAAGGGAGTGAAATTGATAAAATACATCAGAATACAATTTGGTTAATTACTTTGTTATGGAAAATGATCCTAAAAAAACAGCTGTGCTGTTAAAACTTACAAAGCTATTCATATACCATTCATTTGATTTACCCTGATATTAAGATGTTAATTATGGTTTGTTTATCCTGTATTTTGGCTTTTTCTGCAGCTTGCTTTTAGTGAGCTACAGTATATTAATACTGCCACTAGATACAATATTTAACAGTACAAATGACAAACTGCAAAATAATCAGAGGGTGACCTCTGACTTTGTTTTAACCAGTCTAATTTAGGAAAATCTTTATTTATTTTTAAACAAGTTTAACTGAATTATATTTAAATAAGATGCAAAACTGTTAAGGAGAGAATTCCTTCAAATAATTGTGAAACCCTTAAGAAGTGCACTTTAGAATTTGGTTGCAGAACTGAGTCTTATTCATCTCTCCCCCTAAAATTTTTATGATGCTGATGCAAGAAATTACAGTGCAACTGAGACAGAGATACATGTGTACATTCCTTTTGGCTTGCACTAATAAAAAACATTTCCATAAACTTAGCCACCTTGGAATATAAACACAGGTAGTCCAGCATCTCACTAATTGTGAAAACTTTTACTTGATTGATACTTACATATGTCTACTATAGTTCAAATTGCAGAATGATTTAGAGGGTTAATTTTTAATTTCCCCCCTCCCCCTTTTTAGGAATATTTTTACTTTGTTACCAGTGGATTGTAATTCTAAATACTGGCTTCATTTTAAGTGTTCTTTTATTTTTAGTGTCTTCTTTAAAGTGTCAGAAATGTAAAGTTTGGTCTTTGTCTTTGTGGGAAGGAATTTAAATGGGAACTAGTATAAAATAAATAAAAACCCTACAGTTCTGGATAGTCTGACTAAAATCCCTTTTCTTTCCAGTTGTTCAGCTTTCAGTGTCTTTGGGTGGCATATTTTTACCAGTGATGTCTTCCATGCATGTTTCTGCTGCATAGCAATGGCAGTCAGGAGTTCAGAGAGTTGTGATCCCTCACTGATGTAGCTGTGCTGGCAGAAGCTTTTAGTACAGACATAACTACGCTGGCAAACAGCACTTTTCCTGACACAGCTGGTTTTGCTGGTGAGGCAGAGCTGCACCCGCACTGGGAACCCTAGGTCATGTAGTATGCACACTTTCATTGTGCAGGCAGGCCCAATGTTACATTTTCCAGAGCCTTTTAGGACAGGTAAAACCTAAAAGACTAATGCAAAAATAAATAATAAATAAAGGCAGACTTTTTCCAGGCCACTTTCACACGCTTTAAAGCAGCAAAATGGGTACAAGCCTAATTGATCCTCCACTTTGCCTGTGCCTATTCGGTACTCTGGGGTCTGGAGGACAGAGGTCTTATTTTGGCTTACCAGGTATCATGGCCAGCACAATTAAATCTTGTTTTACTTCTGTCTTACAGGCAAATCGTACATGCCCAATTTGCAGAGCTGATGCTTCAGAAGTGCATCGTGATTCAGAATGACCAATCTAAGAGCACAATTCTAGTTTGGGTGTTCCTAGTCACATGTATATACGAACTATCCATTGAACTTACCTGTGTGGCTTCCAGCCTTCCCTTTACACAAAAGGGTCAATGGACCTTTCTTTGCACTGTGTGATTTAATCAATTATAAAGCTTATAATTAGTCTTCACAATTATGGGATTGTTATACTAACCGTGTGATTGGAACTCCAAAGATTTTTTTTTTTCTTTAGCTTAATTTTGTGTGTGCACTAACATTCCCTGGGTTTTGTGTGATCATTCCGAGTGTTGCTGCGAGATTACAGTGGACGTGATCTTTTAGCATGTGCTTTTATAAAAGTGGTAGCTCCAAACAATATAGCAATCTACCTTATATAGAGCCTTCAGATACTGTGAGTGGGAATGATCGGTGTGAATGGGTGTGTGCGAGAGCCTGTGTGAAGGTGTGCTAGCGAGGAGGTGCGCGTGTGTGAGAGAACTTATATACCAGCATGTACTGAGAACGTATGTGTGTAGTATTAATTATGCTGCAATGTATAATCTTGTGTGTTATTTAAACAGTACTAGTACTGTACACTGGTTTCTTTCCTTGTGTTTGCAGTTGCACACTGAATGCTAAGGGTGCAGCAATTATAGGCATTTAATATTTCCTCCCCCAATGTACTTAATGGTATGAAAAGGCCTTTTTACTTTTTATTCAGACAGCTGTTCTGCTTCCCCTTCATTGGAGATTTTAAGTGTACTACTAAAGAGTTTATTGATTTGCTCAATACACGATAGCCTTGTTTTTAGCATATGTTATAAAATCCAAATTTTAAAATTGCCAATTTACTACTTATTTTATCAATAAAGTTGCAATATCGCACAAAATCAGTTAGCAATACTAACATTTTCAATCGGTAATTTGAATGTTGATGCGTTCCTGTTCTCCTTTTTAATTGTTCTAGCCAGTTTTAGTTACGTGCGACTGATTTCAGATTAGTTTTTGAGTTTTGAGGATGCTGAAGTACCATATTACTCGTCCTAAATGGAAGTTGAAAGGACCTTGCGATGCGAGTCTTGTGCAACAGCTCTTCACGTTGCTGACCATTGTACTACTTGAGTACGGAATCATTTAGCTTATAAACATCGGCTTTAAAATCACTTGCATTCTTTGTCATTCACAAGGGAGTTTGTATACAATTAAAAAACTTGTAAGAGGTTACAATTTTATTCCTGCAACTTTGTGAACAAAATAAAATTTTTAGCATTTTCTCAGAGAAGGAGAACTTCTGACTTTTTTTGTTGCATCACCAAAAGGTTTTTTCATTTGTTGCCTGGTTCAAATGATGAAGGATGCTGCTTCTGCCCTTCCCTCTGTCATGATGGGTTTTTGCATAAAAAAAGAAACTCCCTTGATTTTAATATTAGTCTCCAGAGTGCTCACTACCAGAGTGAATGTTGGTACACAATCAAAACAAATTATGTGAAACAGGCGTTAACTTCCATTCAACTGCCCTATGAATAATGCTATGAGCCATGCTGTTGAAAAATTGGCTTCACTTAACACTTCAGAGTTAAAGGTCTCTAAAATTTGTTTCATTGAAATAATTAGGTTGACATGTACCATAGCTTTCAAGATGTGTAACTTTTTTGCGTCATGATGCTTTCTCTTAAATATACTTCGGTTGCAATAGCACAAGTGGCACAACTAGCAATATTGCTGTAACTTGCTGCTAGTCTCAGCTTTAAGTTTTTATTCTGTCACGTCTGATACTTTTTTTTATGCTGCTATGCTTTAGTATCCAGCTGTATTTTCAGACAGTGTTATATGTTCTCCATGCTGCTTGCACTTCATGAAGGCTCTACAGACCAAGCTCAGTGTGTAGTTCTGTTTAAAAACAAAAAAAAAAAAGTACAAGCACAATTTTGTCCATGTTTCCAGATGCTGTTGCCTCTGTTTAGTTACAGAAGCTGAATGCAAAACTTGGCAGTCTGTCCAAACCCATCAGTACTTAAGAACACTAAATCAAAATGATCGCAAAGCATAAGGTTACAACTTTCCCCTGATGTGTTACAGAATGGAATAGCCACAATGACATGACACCAAACTGGTTAAATAATATATAGTAAACTTTTTATTTTTTTAATAAATGAAATCACGTGTTTAAAAAAAAACAAAACTGTAAGCCACATATGTCTTATAATACTTAGGGTCTTTTATATAGCTGCAAAAAAAATTTCTACCTGTACAGATTTAACCATAACAAACACTACTATAGTCAGTATTCACTTTGAACAAAGCATGGAAATAAGGCACTTTTTGTAAGCTAGATAGAAATACATAATTACCAAGGCACATCTTACAAATATGGAGGTAAAGCCGTCCCCTTTGCTGAATTGGAGCAGTCTTTGTGTGTGGTGTCCCTTTTTCCAGGTAAAGTTCTGAGAGGCAGTTGGAGATTGAGGAGGCAGTAGGGTCTAATTTGGTAAAATACTGAATTTAATTGTTGCACTCTTGTGGCTGATCTCTTCTGGAATGTTTCTTTGTTTGCATGGGACTCTTGCAGATGTGTGCAGACTTGCTTCCTGTGGTTAGTGTGTAAGAACAGCGCACATGCATGTGTTCTGAATCAGCTCGGTCTGGCTACAGCTGATATTTTTCCTGTTGTGGCCCTCAAAAGAGGAAGAGAAGGGGATTCATGCTCAGCTGTTAACTGCCATGTTATGCACATTTTGTGTCTTAATTCCACAGCCTGCAGTGGTGCCTGGCAGCACCAGAATCCAGTAAGATATTTATGTTGGTTGCCTTCTCCCCATATTCCCAACTCCCCCTAAAAACAATAAACTCTTGGCTTTACCATATTGGCACTGCTGTGTTTATTTTGCATGAGCAGTCATCTTAATTTTTTTTTCTGTTTTAAATGGATGTCAAAGCCTACATATATCTCCCAAGCTTTGTCTCAGTTTTTGGTTTTATTTACAGAATTTTTTTTGTGCAAAGTAAACTTTTTGTTGTATACTGTTTTATATGGTCTCTTGAATGTGATTTCTCAGCTTTAACATTTACAACTTGTAGTATTTGGAGTGAGATGCACCAATCTAGGTTTTTGGGGTTATTTCATTTCATTTTACTTACTAAAAATATTTTTGAGTTATCTTTAGGCCTTAATACAAGAGCTGGATTTTTTGTTCTTTTTTTGTGTTCAGTTTTGGGGAGGGTTGTTTAGGGTTGTGGTTTTTTGTTTTGGTTTGGTTTGCTTTTTTGTTTTTTCCCTTTGGTATATTCAGTTACCTCATTTTTCTATTTTTGTTTCAGATTTTGCAATTGATTATGAAAGCTTATGGGTTTTGTTGGAATCATATTTTTGTCAAGTGTTTTCTTTAAATCATACTCCTGTATCATTTTAACATGTAGTTTTAAGTGTATTATAAATATCTGTAACCAAATCATTTGAAGGCTTGATAAATTTTTAACAAAATTTGTACATTTTTTATGAGATTACTAGTAATGCTTTACTAAGTAGTGCAATGAGTTTTTATTTTTAATCCCTGTGCCCAATTTTGGAGTTGAGAGAGTTGTTCAGTAATAAATGTATGATGTACACTTATACAATTTTGTCTTGCCTTTTATTTTTCACCTTGGTGTTCTTGTTTTGTTCTTAATATTCATATTTTTCAGTTTTATTACACATTGGAATTGTTTTACCTCACTAATTCTGATATGTAAAGCAAGACTTTTTTCTTTTCAAACACTGTTTTGTTAACAAATCTGCTTTTAGAAATTCTGAGATGAACATGAAGCTGCAGCTTATACATTTTAAAAACTATCAAAAGCATTTTCTTAAGGCAGTATTTTCCTATCACAGTCAATAAATATGCAGACAGTTACTATTTTGTGATCTTTCTGCATTGACCAAGGGATCAGTTTCCTGAAGATTGTACTTCGACTTAAATTGCAAGGAAAATATGAAACACTGAAAATGTTGCTGTATTGAAAAACATTGTGCACTTGCTATAGCATGTTTCAGCTGAAGATGTTTAGTGCTTTCAGATTAGGCCTTGCAATACCCTAGCAAGATGCATAAATATTTCCCCTGGAGTTGAGGAGGAAACTGCAGTAGACTTTGACTTGCTGATAGTCACTGAATTCTACAGAATGATCTTGTGTGGCAGGATCATGTATAGATCCCAGATCATCTCTACCTGTGCTTTTTGTGACAAAGTCATGTATGCCAAGACTTAACAAATTACCTGCCTTTTTAAATGGTTTTCATTTAGTATGCAACAGTTAATTGTTTCAACTAGCTAAAGTTCTCTAGGTACATAATATTTAAAGATGCAGTAGTCTGCCCTGAGTATAATTTTAGCAAAGATCTTGATTATATCTTTGGCTTTGTAGTATCAGTTATAACTAACAAATGGAATAACCATTTCTTAGTTTGATAATAATAATAATAATAACCAATAAATGGAATTGTTCCTTAATGCAGTACATACCCAGTTTTTACAGCATAGTAAATAGTTTAACCTTGCAGCAGTAAAGTATAAGTGTAACATGCTAACAATATTTTGCATTTGTGTAGCCCAAGACACCAATATTTGCTTCAGGGCAAGGCCCATGGCAGATGTTAACATGAACATTTGATTGAGAGAGAACATATATTTTCTTAGGTTCCAAAATATTGTGCACCCTGCTATGCATGATCCCAATTGTGACTGTGGGTGCAGGGAACCAGTTCACTGATACCAGGCTGCACTGAGTGCCTTTCAATGTGACAAAAGGGCAGCCCCTGACTTGGGTTGCCTTCCAGGATTGGGCACAGGGTGACTCTCTTCGATCCCAGAGCTACCCCATCCCCTATCCCAATGATAAGGTGACCATTGGTGTAGCAGACTTAGGGATCCAACCCTAGCATCCAGTGCACCCTGGCAGTCAGACTTGCCTGCTGTACTCTCCATCCTGCCAAACCTGTCTCTTTCCTGGCCACTCACATGGTCAGGCAGCAGTGGGTCAGGTCCTACGATGATAGACTAAAGGGTTTGAATCTATCTAACCTCCACAAGAGCAGACTGAGAGGGGATCTGGTGGCCGTCTATAAACTCACCAGGGGGGACCAGTGGAAAAAAGGCGAGGCTCTGTTCCCCTGGGCACCACCTGGGATAACAAGGAATAACGGCCACAAATTGATGGAGAGCAGATTCAGGCTGGATAGCAGGAGGCATTACTTTACAGTTGGGGCTGCCAGGCTCTGGAATGGGCTCCCAAGGAAGGTGGTGCTCTCCCCTGACTTGGGGGGTCTTCAAGAGGAGGTTGGATAAATATCTGGCTGGGGTATTGTGATCCCAGCACTCGTTCCTGTCCAAGGCAGGGGGTCAGGCCTGATGATCTATTCGGGTCCCTTCTGACCCTAGCAACTATGAACTAAACATGCCCTTTTGGTCATAATCATGCTTTTTACTTGTAGCCTCCAGCCTCCCCTATTGCCATGCACATGCCATGCCTGGGGTCAGTCACTGTTTGGAGGGCTTCCCGGCCCATTTGTATGTTTGCCGCTCAGACGCTAAACTTTTTAAGCCTCAGCCTTTTCAATGATGGCCCCTTTTCTCTCATGGACTCCCTCAGCTCAGCCATACTGTTTCAGGTGTCAGCTCCATGGCCTCAGTCCCACTGCCCCCACCTTGTGCTGGGTCCAAAACGCAGAGTGCCTAAACTGTTACATAGTTTCTAAACCATCCCAAAGCATTGATCCAGTTCTCCAGTATTATACCACCTGATACTCAAAACACAAGTCCCTCCTTGGCCTCTCTGGGTCCAAGCAAACTCTTGCCTTCTATCTGCTAGCTCACTTCAGCTTCCCTGGGTAGCTGTGTTGCCTGGGTTCCCGTCTCCAGCAGCCCAGGCTGGTAGGAAGTCTGCCCTCAGTAGGGGTCAGGGCCAGGCTGATTGCTGGTTTGGGAGCCAGACTTCCAATGTGTTGGGGCTCTGCCCTTTCTAGTTGCAAGGCTTCTTCCACCTTGCCCAGGAGTTTCTACTTAGCCTAATACCAAATCCCCTCTGATCCACTGCAGTCTGCTCTCAGGCACTGCAGTGCAAGCCACTGAGCTGTACTTCTTGCCTTCCTACCTGCCTGGACCTTTTCTGCCTATGGTCAGGCAGCTAGCCCTTAAGCAGTCTCTCACTGTCCTATTGAGTCTCTTTTCAGCTTCCTCAGGCTGCTTAATTTCCCACAGCTGTATCTATCATAGTTGCCCGCTTGATTACAGCCCTCTAATGCTGTGTTCCCCTCTTAAGGTAACAGGAGCCCTATGCTCCCTGTTACAGTCGGGGTTAGGCAGAGGCAGCCCTGGATTTAGGATATGCCATACTTTCAATTTTTAAATAAGATACAAACCAGTCAAAGATATTCCACATCAAATGTGGAAGGTCTTGGTGGCTGGTTTGCCATCATCTTATGCCATAAGTTGGCTGAATTTGTGCTGTTACAATTTATGGTGTAATTAACCTACTAATTCTGCCATAAATGTAACACCTGTGAGGGCCTATGGATAACCAGGCCAACATATTTGCATTTGTGTACCCCATGATGCCAACATTTGCTTCAGTGTCAAGGTGATTGAAGCTGTTAGGATCATAGAAAATGAGGGCTAGAAGGGACCTCAGGAGGTCATCTAGTCCAACCCCCTCCTCAAAGCAGGACCATCTCCAACTAGATCATGCCAGCCACAGCTTTGTCTAGTCAGGTCTTAAAAACCTCCAAGGACAGAGATTCTATATAAATATAGGATTTACTAGCCAATTGCCCGTCATAAATAACAGTGTTTCGGGGAGTGTATACATGCCCCTTCCCCTCCCCCTCGCCCTTTTGGGGCCAGCCTTGTAAACAGTCCTGCCACTGCAGCCAATTGCCACCGGCCCTCTTGGCAGTGCATGTGCAGTTGTCCAAAAGTGTTACAGACAAACAGACCAAGCCCTTTATATATTAGAATATTCAATATTTAGATAATAGAGAATTCTATCTACATCCGTTCTCTAAAGTCTTAGGAAACTCCACAGTCAACACTGCCACAGCACAAGATACAACACCCTAACCCAGGAGTGGGCAATTATTTGGGCCCAAGGGCTACATAAGGAGTTTGGATGAGTTGTCGCAAGCCAGGTCAGTACCCCCTCCCTCTGCCCCTGCAACAACTTACCCCAAAGCTCCCTGTGGGCTTTGGATGGGTGAAGAGCAGTGTTTGGGAGCAAGACAGGCATGATCTGCTCCCTGCATGCCCTGCCTTGTGTATGGGTGCATGTGGAGGGGTTGTGTGTGTGGATGGGGAAACGGACTGCCTGGGAGCCAGCTGGGGGTGAGGGGAGAGAAGGGAAGGCAAGGGGTGTGTGCAACAGAGCACACTTGGTTCACGGCTGCCTTGGGCAAGGCAGCCCATACTGTGCTCCTGGCCAGCGCGCACCTTGTAGTGGGGCTGTTCCCGGTGTGGTTGCAGCTGGCTGGGTGCTGCTCTGCTCCCCTCACCTCCAGCAGGAGCTTCCTTGTTGAAGCTTCCTGCCTGGAGCAGCACAACAGGGACAGGAGCAGGAGGAGGCGCCACTGGAGGCAAGGGGAGCAGAGCAGCATGCGCCGGCCCAGCTGCAGCCACACTGGGAACAGCCCTACTACAAGCTGTGGGAGGGCCTGGGCTGGTAGGAGCACAGCATGGGCTGCCCCAGTGGGAGCAGGTGGGGCTTAACCCCACATGGGGGCAGCTGCCAGATGGAGCCAATCAGTTGGCAGGCTGGATCTGGCCCATGGGCCCTATTTTGCATCCCCACCCTAACTTGCCACAGGCAAAGCAGGGGGACCGCAGTGGCCAATATCCTGCTGCAAAAGTGGTTAAAATATGTTTGAGAGAAAGACAAGAGATCTGCGCTCCCTGCTACAAAAGAAGGTAGAACCCCCGCACCCCCAGCCCATACCAATCTGTCTGCAGTGTAAAATTCCCTTCTGCCCCTGACTATGGTGATCAGTCTGACCCTGAGTAGAGGGGCAAGACCCTCTAGCCAGGAACCTCCAGCTTTAAGTTTCAGTAGGAGCATTGGCACACCTCAGTCAAAATCCCTAGCCATGGCTGCAGCCAACACACAATGCCTTTGCAAAGACTTTAAAAAAGAGAGGGGGGGAAAAAAACCCTATCACAAATAGCAGCAGGAAGGGGGGAAAAAAGTCACTTCTGGCCCCATGTGGCAATGAGCAAAGCCCAGAAGCATGGGAAGAGCCTGTAGCAGAACATAGGCATAGCTATGCTAGATCATCCCTGACCAGTGATTGTCCAACCTCTTCTTGAACATCTCCAGTGATGGAGATTCTCTCTGTGGCAAGAGAGGGAAGGCATTCTCCCTCTTCTTTAAGTATTTGAAGACTGCCATCATATCCCCTCTTAAGCACCTTTTCCCACAAGCTGAACATGCCTATCTCTTTCAGCCTCTCCTCATAGGACTTGCCCTCTTTATCATCTTTACATAGATTCATAGATGCTAGGGTCAGAAGGGACCTCAACAGATCATCGAGTGTGACCCCCTGCCTAGTTCCTATGTGTAAGAGTGGCCGAGGTCAGTGACAT